AGATGTAAAGCTGGTATGATGTTATATCTGAAAATTCAATATGTAATTATTGACCCTTAATTAACCTGAAGTATAAAATTACGTCCTATGTAGTAATACAATGTCTAGGGCGACTTCTAATATCTCTGATTAATAATGACTAATTGAAGGGTAGCTCACCGTTTTTACCTTGACTTCGCTCCGCCTTCCCTTCTTGGTCAGTTCATTCGCCGTCAACACTCGATCAAACACACACCGGCAACACGGCACACCCCGGCGTTCTAGTACCTGTACTGTCCAGGTGCCTCAAGGTGCAAATATAAGTAATATGAATCACGTCAATAGATAATTACTACAAGCGCCTGAGGTGTGTGAGTTCTCGGGCTGGTCGCCTTTTACATCAGATGCTGGCCTCGTAACAATTCATCCATGGAAACACACACCATTCAATTCAACCTACATTAACGAATTTTTGTATGCTTATCAAGGGTTTTCTTATTTTTCTTTTTGAAATCTTTCAACCTTTACCTGAATTCTGGACAAGCTCTATATACTAATCAACAAAACTATACAACCGAACACATATATAATATTTCATGATGTAAATTTCAACGCTTGCTTGATCATCTTCTTAGTTCTGCTCAATGTGCGGTGTGGCTACTCACCTGACATCCAAGCCCGCTCCAGTGTCTCATGTTGATTTGTCTTTCAGCCGCTCCATGCTGAAGTATCTCCACCATAGCACGCCTGCAGCTGAGGCCTTTGGTGTTGAGGCCATGATGCCCCTGATACGAGGCGTATAGCCACTGTATGCTGTTGCCAAGACCAACCTTCCATCTCCTAGGCATCCTAATCTTCCTAAAACAATCCACAATACCAAAACCGGAAGAGGAGATAATATACAGATCAACCAAGATTCTTTCTTTGGAAACATTTCTATCCTGTGGCATCCCGCAAAACTCCCCATTAAACCAAGCTATATCAGCCTGTGGCCTGCATAATACATACTCCTGCGTCTGATATTTGAGAACTCGATATTTGGCAAAAGTAAGCTGTTTACCACTCCAGAAGCCATTCAGACCAACCCCCCTACATTTATGCAAAGATGATATTTGTCACTTAATGGACGGGTAAGTATATAGGTCTCAATCTGTTTGATGCTTAATATTGTGGGATATGGAGTTTGTTGATTCTTCCTACACTTCACTTCAATATAACTCCTTTGATCTTTTCATAGCACCACCTCCACTATAACAACCTAACTCGACTATTCTGGCCACATGTCTAATCTAAGATAAGTGTCAAAAATGTCCTCAGTGTCCAGTGTTCTCAGGCCCCACGTCTCAGGTTCCGTGTCCGTTCCTTGCCTCTGCTTCAGTCTCTGTGTCTCTCCATGGTCGCCTACGCGGCGCCAGTGTTTCTCCAGCTTCTCAGTGATTATTTCCCACGAATATTAATGTGATTTCTCATAGTGTTACTCAACAGGCTTATTAAGACTTATAATATTTACTTTCAGTGTTTTCTCACTCACGTCAAGCTTTTACTTGTCGTTCTCCCTGATTACTCTCAAGTGTTTTCCATGCGTTTAGTATTTGCTCAGTGATTTTTAATCCACTCTCAAGTTGATTCTCCTGACTTGAGTTCTCTGAACCTAATGTTTATTTTTGCTCCGCACCCTCGCCTGTGTGTTTATAAATTGGTTTATTACTGACCCCAACCCGATATTTCTAGTGTCGTTCTCTGTGTTCTCATGTTTGTATCTCAGTTGTTCTCCACGCCGTTTCTGCTGTGTTCTTGCTTAGTTCCAGATTCAGCTTTTCTGTGGTTTTTTCTTGACCAGTTCGTCGACTGTTTCCTCTGTGTTCTTGGTGTATTAATATTATAAATGATTTACTTCATGGGGTGTTTCATTTAGTGTTTGTCATCCATCGAAGCTTCCGGTCAGTGTTGCTCCACGTTCTACATTACGCGCTCGTGAATGATATGTTGTATGTTGTGTTTTAAGTGGCTGATTGGTGTTGTTGAGCCTATCCATTTTTTCTTTATTGATCAGTCACTGAATGAAGGAAGATAACAAGGGTATTTATATTTAACATTGATTTGATTTTACTTTATAATTTACATAATATGGCTGATTAAGTGATAATTTTAATTGTTGGTGCATGTTAATATGTAGTTTATACCTCAATTAATTTTATAAGTTTATTGTTCTTAGGAACTTATTTTACCATTTTCCTTTGAAGTCTCATTAAGTGCTATATGTAAACCTAAGGTATATATACAATATGTGAGTGCAATGAGGTCGAAGGCTTATGTGGCATAGCAAATCCACATGCAACTTGGTATTCCACCAAATGGACGGACCCGGTTATAAGTAATCCATGAGAGAGATACATACACATTATAACCGAAAGACCATCTGCCGTATTAAAAACATAGAGGACGGCCATCGGCTCCAACATCACCTAACGTCCGTGAGCATTTACCATGCACTTATCAATTACCCACAGACATAAGATAGGTTGT